CAAAATTGATGGAAAAGGAAAAAGAAATTGTTGGGAATTCTTAGTAAAGATTGGATTTTTATATATATCTAATTGCTGACAATTATTCTGTGGTCAGGGTCACCATTGGTGTCAGGCCCCACAACACCTTTGCCAGACAAAAAGTTGTTGGTGTTCATTCTTGACAGGCTTCAAAAGTATGTTTTTTCTACTTAAGTGGATATCTTTATATTTCTTGTACTTGGGCTGTTTTTTTTGGTTCCGTGGTACACTTAAGCATTAGTTTATTTCAATACTAAAATGCAGGAAGGATACTTATGGCGTATTCTCCGAGCCAGTTGATCCAAATGAGGTACATTTCTGTAGAGGTGAATTGTATGATGGTAATTATATCCTCTGTAGATATTGAAATAATTTATTTGCAGCTACCTGATTATCATGAGATTATTGAGCATCCAATGGATTTCGGAACCGTGAGGAAGAAACTTGATGGAGGACTCTACTCAAACCTGGAAGAGTTGGAGGTAAGTTACGGATTGCCACACTGGAATTTGTAGTCACAGTTCCTTGTATTTGGATTATAATGGATTCAGTTTGGATGAGACCTTTTATTGTCTACTGATATGAAGTACCTGCAAATGCAGCTTGAGCTGAGAACAGCACCCTTAACTTTCCTGTTAGTAGAATTTGATTCGGTTATCTTGAGTATTATTAAATGGTTGGTGAATTTGTTGAAAACCAAAGAAAAGTATAGTAGCTAAATGAGGAGTAAGGATCTTTTATATCTCAGTTCGATGTTGCACTGTTGTGGGCATAATATTTGGATTTTAAAGTTTTAGGGAAGAGTAGGAGTAGTGGGCATTTATTTTTAACATTTGTAATAGGAGAAGATGGAGGGCTAGGTGAGTTTTTATAAAGATACGGCAGAGATACTTATTTTTAGATTTTGATGGCTAAGTTTAGTGTCGCTCAGTGTTCTCTTAGAGCAGGAAAACTTTATTTTTTAGAGATTTTGTGTTTGTTGCGATGCCCTTGGTAAAAACTGAACCTGAATGAACTCGTTTCTTTTTCTTTCTCTTCATTTAGTTTTCTTTTCATCTTCAATAAAATTTTACCCTTATCTAAAAAGGAAAAAAAAAGGTCAAGAGAAAAGTATAAGAAGGTCAAATAACATGGCATATACACAAGTCTCAATGCAGGAAGTTTTGAAGTGTTTGGAAATTTATGTTGTAGTAAAAATAATTTCACATTCGCTGGATAAAGTAAAGTTCGTGTAGTTTATGCAGAGATCTTTTCATATTTCTTGTGTCATAGTCTCATTTGTGGTAATTGTCTCTTTCATTTTAAATATCATTCAGCTGTGATTTTGGTCGGTGCGGTGGGATTTTCTTCCTGTTTGCACCTCTCAAAAATTGCTATTGGAGTATAATTGAATATAACTCTGATCTCCAACATTATTGTAATTCATGTAGGTTGATGTTTTCTTGATATGCTCAAATGCAATGCAGTATAACGCCCCAGATACTGTTTACCACCGGCAGGTATCTTTAGCATCTCCCTAGCCCTTCTGTTATTTCTTCATTGTCTCCACTTTGTCCTTAACTCTTCCTTTTGTAGGCAAGAACCATTCAAGAGCTGGCAAGAAGAGATTTCGAAAACTTGAGGCATGAAGGAGAGGATGGCGAGCCTAAGGTAGTTCGTAGAGGTCGTCCTCCAGGCAAAAACCTAAAGAAGTCGGTTGAAAATTCACCTCTAGATCGTGTTTTCACTGAGATTTCTTCGGGTGCTACTCTTGCTAGTGGGGATGACAAAGCTATGGGATCTAATTCTTATAACGTAAGAAAGGGGCCTATGCCTTCAAAGTTTCATTCCTCTGATGCATTCTTGGCTCATCGCTCTCGTAATGGCGAAAGTTATTCTGAAACTGATTGGAATACTGAGTTTCCAGGTTTAAACCTAACACAGTCACTTCTCTACACCATTTTTTAATGAAAAACGACTAATTATCTTGTTTCGTGCAGCTAATATCTTGAGGGCTGACATGAAGTATGGAAAGAAACATTTTTCTATTGATGAGAACAGGCGGGACACATACCAGCAATTCCATCCTTCGGCTACTTGTAGTGAACCATCTCTCTTGTCGAATATTGACGGAGATATGAAACGGTTAATGGCTGTATGTACAGAGAGCTTACCTTGCTTCCTTTTTTTTTTCATGGCTGTCAATGAGAAGGGAATACAGGGCTGTATTCAAATTATTCATTTCTATTTCTGTTAAAACTTACATTTTAGGACTAAATTTAATGAGAACCAACTTACACAAAGATAAAGTTGTTGATGAAAATCAAGAAAGGCAGTACAATATTCTCTACATACTGTTCCATTCTATTTGTCTCATTTTTAGATTGCTTTTACATAGACTACGTTGCCATCGACATGTCGTGTTTCCATTACACTATATAGGATAGGTCTGGATAAGTTAAAACAACTTTAAAGATTCCAATACTTGATCTGGTGTGACAGGGTTTNAAAGAAAATCCTGCCCGCCAACCCAACCCTTATGCATGCTGAGATGTTACATTTGTCTTACTTTACCAAGACCAACAGTGTCATCTGATTATAATTACAGGTTGGTATTCACTTCGAGCAACATGCTTATGCGAGAAGCCTTGCTAGATTTGCTGCAAATCTTGGGCCTGTTGTTTGGAAAGTGGCTTCTAAGAAGTTGGATCATATTTTGCCTGCTGGAGTAAAGTTTGGTCCTGGATGGGTGGGAGAAGGTGGAGGTCCAATAGAGCCATTGACTTCTTCAGCTGAGATCCAGAAATCATTGTTAGATAGCTCAGCAGCTGATCGCCATTCTAGTAGACCCGTTACACCGTCACCTCCTGGATTAAGTTCTGCTGTAATGTGCAAGCCTTCTGCCGAAATCTTTGAAGCTGTCAAGAGATTGAATAGTCAAAATGAGCTAACCAGACAGGGTTGTGGTGATGGGGGATTTTCGTGGGCAAATCCTGTGTCTACCTCCTGCCCAGCTCCGCAGAAAGCTCTTCTTCAGCCAAGAAACGGTTTCACTGACGTGTTTGGGCATGACTCGTCACAGCAGGCGGAGCTGTCAAGGTTTTCCATGTGTAAAGGAGAGTCAGGCCTACAAGAGGCATCTAGGCCTAATCAAGTGCTCAGAACGCTTCCTGTAAGAGATAATCCATCTTTTCATTCTGCACTTTCTAACCATGTCACTTCAGCAGAAAATAAGTTGTTAGAAAGCTGGGCAACATTGTACTCTGGAAATTCATTACCACAAGGTAAAAATCCTGAATTTTGTACAGAACAGAATGGGAGGGTTTCCGGTGAATCATGGCCTGCATCTTTGGGTCAGCAGAGGAGCAAAATGTCAGTTCCCCCTGACCTGAATGTAAGAGTTCAGCCTCCGGGCTCCCCTAGCGCTAGTTTACAAATCGGTTCCTCACAGCAGCCAGATTTAGCGTTACAACTCTAATTTTTGTTTAGCCCTGTTGGTTGTGAACCAGAAAACACAGGTCGCTATGATTGACAGTGACCTGGAATGAGGGCTTCATTGTATTAGGAACTTGAGGAAAAAGTTTGTACAGATTATGTTTCCAATTTTTTAGAGTAACATGGGGGCTGCTCGCTCCTTTAAGACAGAAATTAGTCCTTGGTACATTTTTAATAGTTACAAATTGATACTCAGACGTTCACATTTAATTTGTTCATTAAGGAATCAAGTTTCCTTTTTTCTTTTTCTGTTGTCATTTACTGAATTATGTTACTCAAAATAGTAGTAGTAGTTTTTCTTGAGCTGAGCTTTTATCGCCTGGTATTCGAACATTGGCTCGAGGCATTTTCTCTACCCCCTTTACCCTGACAAAGCAGGGACACCTTACGTTTTTCGGCTAACCTAGCCTCCTCCGTCCCTCGGGACCAACAAGGGGCAGTACAGGAATATTCACCTGTTGTCCATCGACTACGCCTTTCGGCCTGATTTTAGGCCCTGACTCACCCTCCGTGGCCGAACCTTGCGGAGGAACCCTTAAATTTTCGGGGCATTGGAGGAAACAACCTTTCTACCCAAATCCACATTATATTAAGTACATCCCTCCCTCACTCAATATATGGAAAACTTACTTAGAATTCACACTAAAATCAAATTATAATTAATTATAGTTAAGTGACATTTTTAAGGTTGCAATATATAGAGTAATTAAGCTAGCGTTTGAAATTAGTTTTAGTTGAAACTTGGAAAAAAGAGTTTTTGAAGTTGTGTTAAATAATAGTTTTTGAAAGTTGAAGTTGTGTTTGGAAATGCATTTTACTTGAAAAAATATTGAAGTTTTCTTAGTGGAAGAAAAAATTTCAAACTGGTCGAAACCAGTTTTTGGAACTTAATTTTTTTTTTTTCAAAAATTGATCAAATTTCATGAACGTTTTCAATTTGTTTTTGAAAAAAATTGCCAAAATCTATATCCAAACACAACATAATTAACCAATGGTTAAGTGAGACAGATTAACAACAACAACAACAACAACAACCCAGTATAATCCCACTTAGTGGGGTCTGGGGAGGGTAGTGTGTACGCAGACCTTACCCCTACTCTAGGGTAGAGAGACTGTTTCCAAATAGACCCCCGGCATCCTTCCCTCCAAGAACTTCCCACCTTGCTCTTGGGGAGACTCGAACTCACAACCTCTCGGTTGGAAGTGGGGGTTGCTTACCGTCAGAGCAACCCCTCTTGTCAATTAAGTGATATGTTAATNAAAAAAAAAAAAAAAAAAGAGACCTCAAGAAATACCATTCTGCAACTCCTATAACTTTGAATTCAAAAGAGATTACTAACCTAAACAGGAATGTTGGTAACTTAATCGAGTTCATCAACTTATACTCAAGTATGTTAACACATATTCCACCATTATTAATGTATTTAATTAATACTAATTACTATATATTCTTCAATTATAAAATCCCACCATCATTTTCATCATTAACAAACTATGGCCAGAAAAGTAATTCGCTCCAGCTTCCTTTACATTTTCACTTGCTTCCTCTTCTTCGCTACTTTCTATCACCATTTTCTTCGCCATGATTTCTCTGCATATCACAACGAAATTATTAATCCTCACAATACTACTATCAAATCCACCACACCCAATTTTCTTTTTCATGAAAATTTTTCTTCCCCTAATACCCCTTCTCGAAAATTCCCTATAATTCCCTCTGTTTCCATTCTCATGCCGGATTGGGAAGTCTACGTCATCGTTTCACCTGATTTTTCCCCTCTACAAACCCATTATAATAATTCTAGTTTTCTCTGTGTTTTTGATACCGGAGAGGAATCTCCGGTTGTTCCCGCCGGTGAGCTTCCATTTCCGGTCCGGTCCATTTTCAACTGCAAACTTCCTAGCCGGGCTCGTCGGAGATTGCCGTTTACGCAACCCATTTTGACGAGCTCTTCTGCTAATGTTTCTTATCGGAATTCACCTTCGCCGGAGCTGTTACGGTGGAGTTTTCTCGTCTACGACTCTCTCACAACCGATGACGATGTCGTTTTATTCGTTAAAGGGTTAAATAATCATCAAGGCATTAACAGAGAACCCACAGAATTCACCTGTATTTTCGGCGACGGCGTTAAAACCGCCGTGACAAGTTCAGTACAAGAAGTTTTCCGTTGTAAACGGCCGGATTTCGCCGTTAATATGCCAATCAAAGTGTCAATTGAAATTGTAGGACCCACTCCTATTGTGGTCCCTACAGTAGCCTATTATTCGCCACAACGGAAACTTGCTAGCCCTGAAAAAGCTAACCTCTGTTTTTGCACTATGGTGTACAACGTGGCTAAATTCTTAAGAGAATGGGTTTTATACCATTCTAAAATTGGAGTTGAGAAATTTATATTATATGATAATGGAAGTGATGATGATTTAGCTCCAGTTGTTGAAGAGCTAGTTGAAGATGGCTATAATGTGCAAACTTATTTTTGGCTATGGCCAAAAACGCAAGAAGCTGGTTTTTCCCATAGTGCCATTTTTGCTAAGGATTCATGCTCATGGATTATGTACATTGATGTAGATGAATTTGTGTACTCTCCATCTTGGTCAAATTTAACTCAACCATCACAATTACTATTACCTTCTACATTACTGAATTCAGAAGGACTCAGTGTAATCGCACAAGTGGGGTCTAGAAAATCGACCGAGAAAAATGTTGCACAAATTAGCATTCCTTGTTATGAATTTGGACCGTCGAAACAGAAGGTACATCCAGTAAAGGGAGTGGTACAAGGGTATAATTGTAGGAGGAAAATGGAGAATAGGCACAAGTCTATAGTATTTTTGGATGCTGTAGATTATTCTTTGCTTAATGTGATACATCATTTTAAGTTGAAGCCAGGGTACAATGTGAAGAAATTGAATGTTGTTGAGATGGTGGTGAATCATTATAAGTATCAAGCTTGGCCTGAATTTAAGGCTAAATTTAGGAGAAGGGTGTCAGCTTATGTTGTGGATTGGACTAAACCATTGAACCTTGGTTCGAATGATCGAACCCCCGGGTTAGGGTATAGTCCAGTTGAGCCAAAAGGATGGCAGAGGAAGTTCTGTGAGGTATATGATAATGGTTTAAAAGATTTGACATGGAGATGGTTTGCAGTTGAATCCCTTGCTCCATCTGAGTACAGTTTGCCTTGGCAAAGATGAACCATATGGGGAATCGACGAATGCAGCGAACAATATTACTAGTGGATTGAGTTGTTACAATACGTCTTGTCTAGCTATGACTTTAGAATTTACCAGATAGAAGGTAGCAGAGAACTGTAATATTTCTTTGATTCAAATTGAGATTTTCTTTGATTCTTAATTTTTTTCTCTGCAATTTTTGTTCTTTTGATTCTTTTAGTGTAGGTTGATATATATTTGTTTAGATGTAGTTAGTGGGATAGATAGGAGAGACCACTTGTTCTTGAATTCTTCAAGAGCATAAGATTAATGTTAGATTGCTATAATGTAGTATATATCTCTCTTGAGCCGAGGGTTAATCGAAAACAGCCTCTCTATCTTTTAAAGATATGGATAGTCTACGTATACACTACTCTTTTTAAATCATACTTGTGAGATTATACTAAACTAGTATTGGTACTCGAGCAATGCGCGGACACAAAATATATCAAATTGTAATTTGAGTTATTAGAATGATGTGCAAAGAATCTTGAAATATAAACTTTTCAAATAAAAATTATATGTAATCATTAAATATTAATTAATTATTGTGGCGCTTATGTTCTCTTGAGCCGAGGGTCTACTGAAAACAGTCTTTCTATCCTCACAAAGTAGGAGTAAGGTCTGCATACACACTACCCTCCCCAGATCCTACGGTGTGAGATAATACTAGGTATGTTGTTGTTGTTGTTGTTGTTGTTGTTGTTGTTGTTGTTGTTGTTGTTGTTGTTGTATTTACTATTAATTAAGAAGCAAGACATGAAATTATTTCTCGGAGTGGACAACTTGTTTTTTTCTATATTTGTAACAACTCAGCCCCTTGATTTTAGTACTTGCATTTTATTTTGCTGTCAAATAGTAAAGAATACAAAACATATCATATAATGATCTGCCTTATTTGACCACATTAGATTTCATATTATTTGAACAAAATTCTTACTATTACTTTATTTTATCTCAAAATCAAATAAGTCTTATTCATCACATTTCTATACAAATTCCTTTTTCTTTTGTTCTTTATTTATAGTTATTATATTATTCATTGTTTACTATTATTATACTATTATACGATCTTTTATTAGCTTACCAGTTGTCTTAATGTCTTGCTTATCCTTTTAATAGTCATCAATAAATATAAATTCTTCTATTCTTGAAATTTAATGTATTTTTACACTTTTATCCTCTTACTCTAAACTCTTTTATCATTTAAATCTATCACTAATATTCTTAAGTAATATTTAATTATTTAATTTATTTATCTTAAATTAACTTAAAGTATAAGTATCCTCACACTATCTCTATTTTTGTTTATATACATTCTCTTCCCAACTACAAAATTTTAATTAGTTTTTTACATCAATGTTTTACCTATAACCAAAAATAATATCACATTTTATTTTAACCTTTAAGTCTAAAATTTTAATACAAAACCTCTTTGATTATTATGTTCCAAATTCTATTTAGTCTTCTTATAATTATATTTTGTATTACATGCACTTGAATTTTCTCTCTTTTATATTTAAGATACAAATTTAATTTTTAATTTCCTTCAGTAAAATTACTTGTATTAGACATTTAATTTGTATTTTAAAATTTTAATTTATTCTCAGATTCTTATTTTTTTTAATAAGACTTCAATTTCACGGTCTTATCCGTATTTGAGCGTTCTTATCATAATTTTTCCATTAATGAGATTTAACCGGGTATTTTTCCATTATTATTATTTTACCGGGATTTTAAAAACTTCTGATCTCAAATTGAAATAATCTTTTCTTTTTAATTATAATATTTAAATTTTAAATATTTTTAATTTTGCTATTATGTTATCTAATATGTAGTATTATCAGGTTTTATGTAGTTTTTCATTAACTTGTCACTTTATTTAATATTGTTATCTATTACTATCCTTTAATATAATATAAATAGATATTTAAGTTTTTAAATCTTGAAATATATATTTATGTCATTAAAAAATATTTCTCTCTATTTTTTTTTAAAATTTATTAGTCATATTTTTAGGTATTTTATATTTACTTTATTTTGTTTTCTAAACTAATTATTTATAAATAATTTCACATTATCTCTAACATATTTTCATTATTAATATTTTTAATTTATATTTTATCTATTAGACTTGAGTTATGTGGCCTTATCCACATTGTGACTTATTTATCATTAAAAAAAACTTTCTCATCGCAATTTAAATAAGTTTTATCATTAGTTTTTCTTTGATTTTTTTCTTTATTTGAACCTTATTTTTGCTATTATATTATTCAAATTAAATATTATTATATTGTCATGTTGCTTTTCATTTGCTTGTTTAAATTTAGTTTATCCATTCCTATCAAACCCATTCTAATATAATACAGATAAAAACTAAAAATTATTTCAATAGTAACTTTAACACACTCGAGGAGCCCGATTGGTAGCATGGGGTACGCACGACGATGAAGGTGATGGGATCAATCTGCGCGTGATCTTTGAAATGTTACAAGCTAAACAGGTGGCGATAGCCCAGTAACAGAACCAAAGACGTGCCCCCAGCAGAGTTGAGACCGAGCCATCCTGGGAAAACACCCAAGAAATGAACGAACCTCGGAAAGTCCATGTGAAGTTGAACCCGGAACCAATCCCTAAATTATTTATATATATAATTCAAGTATGTTTATGCTTCTATTTTTTAAATTAAACCGCATTTTAAAAAAAATATGTTATGCTTTCCAACTTAAACTACTGCACTCAATTCGTATATTAATTATAAAAAAAATATATTTTCTTAGAATTGTACTTTGGGTAAAACTCTCATACTATATACAGGGAGAAACTTATAATTCATGGGACACATTGTAGCACGTATACCAAGGCAATTTATCTCTGTTATTCAAATTTTTGTTCATCAGTTCTTCATAAGTGCAAGATCGGGATCGAAGGTAGGTTCTTCATTAAGCCATTAACCGAGCCCGGGATCACTCTTATCATTGGTTTGACCATTTATTACGCCTTTCACTTACTTAATCTAACACCATTAATCGCTTGTATTGAATTAAACCACATATCTTTAAAATTACATATAAATTCAATTATTATCCGTTTTTAAGGTTAAACAGTTTGGCGCCCACCGTGGCGCTAAGAATAATACTGGCAATTTGATACAAATTTTTGTAACATACTCTGCTATACGCTAATTTTTTGAGATTTTAATTTCAGATAAATTTAAGAATATCAAACTTTCAATCTGCTCACTTGAACATTGATGATGAGTGTGGACACCATGGCGAGAACAATAATATATAGTGCCCAGCAATGAGTTTCTCCCTGCTGATCCCAACAAAGTCCTGGTCGTGGACCCAATCGATGCCAACTTCCATGTGGCCATCGACGCTAACTTGCCTACCGACCCAGAAAACAACGTTTGTCGAGGAGCCCGATTGGTAGCCTAGGGTACGCACGACGATGAAGGTGATGGGATCAATCTGCGAGTGATCTTCGAAATGTTACAAGCTCAACAGTTGGCGATAGCCCAATAACAGAACCAAAGATGCGCCCCCAGCAGAGTTGAGACCGAGCCATCACGAGAAAACACCCGAAGAAATGAACGAACCTCGAAAAGTCTAGGTGAAGTTGAACTCAGAACCAATCCCTAAATCATAAAGATGCTCGAGGAACTGACGAATCGGGTGGAATCGGGGGAAAAGAAGATCGAAACCAATGACAAAAAAGTGGAGACCTATAACTCCAGGGTTGATCAGATCCCAGGAGCACCCCCAATATTGAAAGACTTGGATTCAAAGAAATTTATCCAAAAGCCTTTCCCTTTGAGCGCGGCGCCGAAGCTTATCCCAAAGAAGTTTTGTATTCTCGCAATTCTGAAGTATAATGGAACAACAGATCCAACTGAACATGTGACCTCCTACATGTGTGCTATCAAGGGGAACGACTTAGAAGATGACGAAATCAAATATGTTTTGCTGAAAAAGTTCGGAGAAACCTTGTCAAAATGAGTTATGATATGGTATCACAACTTACCCCCTACTTCTATTTATTTGTTTGCTATTCTTACAGGTGCTTTTGTAAAGGCACATGCCGGGGCCATCAAGGCCGAGACCGGGAAATCAAACCTTTTCAAAGTAAAGCAAAGAGATAACGAGATGCTCAGGGAATTCGTGTCGAGGTTTCAAGTAGAATGAATGGATCTGCCTCCGATCGCAGATGATTGAGCCGTTCGGGCATTCACCCAAGGACTTAACCCCCAAAGCTCATTGGCTTCGCAACAGGTGAAATAGAATTATATAGAATACCTGGAGATAACTTGGGCCGACGTCCATAATACGTACCAATTAAAAATTAGAGTCGAAGATGATCAACTCGGCCCCCCACCAGATCAGTGTATCCTGTCAAAATTTGAGACAGATCTAAAATAGTCATCGATCATAAACCAAGACCGAACAGAGATCGGTATCAACAATATAGCAAAGATCGAAGGACCAACCGCTCCTTTTCCCCCATTTCTGCTTTTTTATGTCTTGTTCAACTGTATTATATAGTATCGGGTTGGTTGGTTCGGGTTCGGAGTGATTTGGAGAGGTATGAGACACTTAGTCTCTTTTTGAGAAGCTTTAGTTGGAAAAGTCAATCGGAAGTTGACTTGTAAGTAAATGATCTCGGAACTTGGTTTTTATGGTTCGGATAACTTCATGAGGTGATTTGGGACTTAGAAGCGTGATCGGAATGTATTTTAGAGGTTCGTGGTAGATTTAGGCTTGAATTGGCAAAATAAGAATTTTAGCGTTTTCCGGTTGGTAGTGTAAATTATGATATCGGGGTCAAAATGGAATTTCAGAAATTGGAGTAGGTCCGATGTGTCATTTGGGATGTGTGTGCAAAATTTTAGATTATTTGAATGAGGTTTGATAGACTTTTTGATCGATTGCGGAATTCGGAAGTTTTGGAATTCATAGGCTTGAATCTGAGGTTGATTTGGTGTTTCGACATTGTTTTGAGTGTTTCGAGGGTTGGTATGAGTTTGAATGGTGATATGTGACTTGTTGGCATGTTTGGTTGAGGTTCCGAGGGCCTCGGGATGGTTTTGGATGGTTGTCAAAAAGTTTGGACTTGGAGTTGTGTTGCAGAAATTGTTGCTTCTGTTGTTTCCGCACCTGCAGATTGGGGACCGTAGGTGCGATGATCGAAGGTGCATGGGCATGAGTGGATGATTTACCGCACCTACGAGTCCGCAGGTGTGAAGCCTGGGGCGCAGGTGCGGATGTTTGGCCCTAGTGAAAAACCGCAGGTGCGGATGTTTGG